GGGCAGTTGCATTAAAAATACAAAATAAAAACCAACCCCCTAACCAAACATACTGAAAAAACCATGATGTGCATGCACTGCGTCCATGCTGCGTGTTGGAGAAAACAGACATCAAGTTGATGTCACAGGGCATGCCTTGCAACCCTGCTATAAGCTTTGCGGTTCTCCTCTGGGTGCTTTCCAAGTGCCTTACCATCCTTTTTATACTGTGGAGCCCAGAAATACACACAAGGTCAGGCTGCACCAGCACTAAATATTATAGCATGAGAAGCACTACTTTTGATTGGCTACGCTGTGTTTAGTGCACCCCACAAAGCATTTTGCCCCTCTGCTGTAAAGACACACTTGTTGGCTTGTACCAAGCCTGCTGCCACCAGCAGCCTGGGCCCCTTCCTGCTGAGCTGCTCTCCAGTTATTCATCTCCACAGCTGTGCCTTGTCCAGCAATGCTTTGTCCCAAGTGCAGCACCTGACGTTTTTCTTGAATTTCATGTTATTCAGAATGTATAAAACCAATAAAGCTGTATCCTTAATTCTAAATATATGATCAGCTATGCTGATTTGTGCATCTCAGGGAAATGTGCATAGAAATGTAGTAAAAGTCTAGAGAGTAATAATATCAGAAGAGGATATGAATGTTAATAAGTCATTTTGCCAGCAGTGAACTAATGAAGCCTTGTTTCCTGGAGGTTTGTGCCTCATTTTTGATTTACTGCTGTCAAAAAGGTGAAAAATAGAACTGCAGCTTTTCTTGTTGTTGGGCTTTTACAAGGTTTTGATATGAATGGATGCCATCTAGTGAGATGTGACCTCTTTGACACCCTTTCACTATTCCTGTAGTTTCTTGATATTGTGCAGCTGCATGATTACTTAGTGTCTGTGGGAAGCAACTAATCTTCTTAATGTTTAGCTGAAATCAGCAAGTGGTTTTGGAGTTAATGGGAGGAACAAATACGTGTGTGTACACTCCCACACATACTGAGTACTCCATAAGCAATCATAAGGCTGCAAGAAAGAATGTGCCAGGAACTCTGGTTGAACAAAACTTTTGTAATTACTGATTCATATGCAACTCTATTTTATTAATTACTGGTCATAATGATCAAATGTCAGGGATCTCTGCATTCTTCAGTATTCTTTATGTAATAAAATGTGAATTAAAAGCAAACATTGATGGGAAAGGCAAAGTAAGGGTGCAAATACATAATTTTTAGAAACGTTTGAAATTGAGTTCAAGGCAATAATTTTGTGTTGCAATTAAAGTTGTAACATTGCTTTTTATTTCTTAGAAAGCAAGGGGCATTTTGTTTGTTTATATGATTTGTAATGCAATTTTGTTGATTAAAGCCTGTGTAAATGTAGCTGAATAGGAAACGTTGTCATTAGTAATTTCTAAATGATGGAAAGATTTGTTGGTTATGTTTCTGTAACACGGAACTGTCAATAGCATTTTCAAGCTAGTATAATTCTTACAAAGGAACTTACTATTTCTTTGCTAGTAACCTACTGATTTCTACCAGATTTCTCAAAATAATGCAAAAATGTATGGTGCTAATGACTGATAATCGTCTGAATTATAAGAAGAGAAAACGTTATGTCAGAATTCAGTTAAAAAAGTGTGTTTACATGAAGCAACTCTTAGCAAAGTGAGGAGATTCTTTAGTAATCCAGCAGAAATCCAGGAGCTTGTACCTCCTGGCCCTGGGAGAAGAGGGACTTTCCTTTTACTCTGGATTCAACTGCTATAACATGTCATGAATGTTAGTCTACCTTTATGTGGTTTCATCATCTTGTGCCTGTTTCATGAACTCACTGCCACCACCATTTGGATCAATAAACCCTATATATTTCTATTCCCAAACCCATTTGAATGAAATGAAGGGTTAAACGTAGTATTATTTTTCTGCATTGTCTGTTGTGGGGTAAACAGTGTCTCAGTTTGCCCTCTAAAGCACCTCTACAAAGGAAACAAAAAGTGAGTGGTGTCAGTGTCCCAAAGGTGGTTGTTCTGCAACTTAAATAGACTTTGAATAAGACAGAGACCCATCTCCTCGTTGAATGCTTAACTGCATGCATCTGTGAGCCTGGTAAATAACATAAGTTTGGCACAGTTCTTACAGGCATCAGCTGGGTTTGGGGTTGGCCTGTCTGGGATTAAAAAATAAAGCCCCGTGGCTCCGTTTTGTAGTTAAAAAATAACACTTGTTATATTTTAAAGAAAGTATTGGTGATGTCTAACAGTAATTCCATATATCTGTGCGTGTCTTGCAGTGTGAAGACAGATATCATTTAATTTTGTTACAGCTGATCAATTCTATTAAAAATATTACTCATTACAATTACTGTACATTTTTAGAATAAACTTATTCCTTTAGAAACAGCAGAACTACTCTCTGAAAATTCTTACCTAGTTCTCAAAAATATGTGCTATTTATATGAAAATAATAGAGTGCTGTAACCTAAATCCAGAAGTATATGCTTTTTTTTTTCATATTTACAAATATCTCCCTATATTTGTGCAGCTGTCATTATTTTATCTTAAATAAATGTGAACATAGAAGACAAAATTGGAGTTGTAAATAAGGCTGGAATATCTAGCATACAAGCAGGATTTGGAACCTTCCAAATACTTGCTGAGAACTAATTAAACTTGTCCTGCTTCTATAATTGCTTTGCATCAGCCCTCTATGTTTGGAAAGGAAAAAATGATAAACATTCAGACAAAGGCAGAGGTTGCTTTTTTCCTGTCTTGAGCTATTTCTGTTCTTCAAGAATGTAGGCTTGATGTCTGCAAATGCTGCATTGTTTATAATTAAACAGTGGATCAATAAAATAATAGATGCAAAGCACTGAAGTTAGGATTTCTGTTGACAGATTGTGCATCTGAGGATAGCTTATTTTTATTGAGAGGCCACTGTTACAGAATACAAGAAATGGTATTCTTCCATTAAAAGTCCCACACTTATAAAACTGAAATGCACATTATCATTTTAGATGAACATTTCACTTTGAAGTTGCATGGAAATTAGAATAGTATTTGTTTTCAGAGAGAGAGAGAGATTGTAACAACATTGAGGTGCAAATTCAGTGTTTGGTGCCTGTAATCAAGGCTAAACAAACTGCTTCACTTCAACCTTCTCTTATGCTTTGTTTCCTATAGAACAGATCATAAGCACTGTGAAGCTTGCTTATATGGTGATGCAAGGACTTAGTCTTTTCCAGAGACTGACTTTCAAGACAAAATCCCTTCCTTCCTCAACAGCCCCAGTATTCAGGTTCATTGAGCACAAACTGAAGAGAGCCTGGAATAGAGCAAATCCTCCATCCGTCCTGAAATACCACACAGCCCTTTCGTGCCATTTGAGTGAGGGGCTGGAGTGAGCAAATGTCCAAGTAAACAGTGTGTTCTCTCTATGCCTCATAATTAGTAAAACAACTGCATGTAGACACTGTAAAAGCACTCACAGCACTGATAGCAAGGGTGAAGATTGGGATTCATCTGCCTAAATGTCAGTGTATGTAGCTGAGCTCAGCTCCAGCTCCCATTGTAATCAAGGGAAGAATCGTAGTTGAGGGAATATCCTGAAGACCTTTATTCATAAATATGCATAAAGCATAATATGCCTAAGCATACCCAATTTCTACCTCCACACCTATCCCCCCTAAAAATACAAACACCTCAATCTTCATTTTTTCATTCCCTTCATAATTAGAATGATGAACTCTGTCATTTCTATAAAGTCACTGGCTAGCATCTTCTCTAAAAATAAACATTCTAGAACAGAAAGAGAGAAGTCAGTTAACACTTGTATTAGAGGTCACAGATTCAGAGTTAATTTAGAATTTGGCAGTTGGTTCAGATATGATTGGCAAGGAGATAGCCAAAAGGCTGCAAGTATAAATTGGAAATAAATGGAAATAGATTATGTGACTGGGATACAGCTCTGAATCCATAATGCATGTCTTGAGACTGACTTGCTCATAAAAGAGCATGTGTTTAATGTGTCATAAAAATATTTAAGCCACATTGGTCTTTGTATAAATGTTCCATTTTTAAAGTTGAATTCTAGAGTGATTAAAAATGACTTTGGCATGCGTATCCTTGCCATCAGCATAAAGGGTAATACATACATACATACATACACACACACATATATAAAGAAAAATCAATGGAAACTGTTTTTTTTTCCCTTTGAGATCTGCATTACCTTCTTTGTTGTTGTTCTTAGCTTCTGTGTCCAGATCTGCTTTTTAGTCCTTGCTCTGCCATCTATTTTGTTACATAGTATTCCTCTGAGAGAAGCTGTGGATGTTTTCTGTTAGGATACAGTTGGGAGAGTTGCTGACCAGAAGGCATCATGTATGGGTTTGTGAGTGTGCATGGGTGACTGCAGTGTCCAAAAGAGACGCTTGCCTGTGTTCCTTTGACTACTTCTGTTCCAAAGATGATAAAGATGATATATGTGTGTAAATAATGTAAGATATGTTTTGAATGTGCTTATGTTCTGCATCATTAGTTTTTTCACTGTTGGTAGCTAAACTGCAAGAATCTGAACATCTGCTACCACCTGCTAGCTCAAGTGTCTGCGGGAAGCAGTGACAGCAGTTAGAAAAGATCACCTCTAAAATGTTCTCTTTTCTTTCTGCTATTCTCTTTTAACTAAGCACTGTCATCTTAACTTAGCTCAGAATTTAACCTGGTGCCATATCTAAGGAATGGTTTCTAGAGTGTTAAGAAACATTCTGCAGTGACAGAAGAAGAGGAGAGGACGTGACCAGAGCTGCTCTCACCTCATCACTCTCCACAAACGCATGGCCACCATCCCTTGTACATACGTGTTAATCTTATACCTGAGTCAGTATTACTCCATCCATAACAGCATGTGAAATACAGATCAGTGCTAACATCTCCAGTGGTACTGTGATGCATTAGATTATGATTGTTTTGTGTTATATTACAGTATTTTAATATTTGTGTTATATTTATCTTATTCCTCACAGGTGAGATATGTGCTTTTAAAATTCACGGACAAGAAATGCCATTTGAAGCTGTTGTGCTTAACAAGACATCTGGAGAAGGCCGTCTTCGAGCCAAAAGTCCTATTGATTGTGAGCTGCAGAAAGAATACACGTTCATCATTCAAGCCTATGACTGTGGATCAGGACCAAGTGGAGTAAACTGGAAGAAATCTCACAAGTAGGTGAAAATGACATTTATTCGCTTTGTAGTGCATTTACTCTATGGTGCAAAACAGGTTGAAGGTACCCTTTTTATAGAATCATAGAATGGCTTGGGATGGAATGAACCTTTAAGATCATCTAATTCCAAACCCTCGCTGTAGGCAGTTATACCTCCTTTAGACCAGGTTGCTGAAAGTCACATCCAGCCTGGCCTTGAATGCTTCCAGGGAGGGGGCATTCACAACATGTTCCAGTGTGAGAAACTCCAGTGAGTGTAAAGAATTTCTTCCTAATATCTAGTGTAAGTCTACCCTCTTCCAGTTTAAAACCATTTTCCCTTTTCCTGTCGCTACCTGCTCTTATGGAAAGTTCCTTCCCAGCTTTCCTGTACGCCCCTTCAGGTACTAGAAGGCTGCTATAAAGTCCCCCTGGAGCCTTCTTTTTTCCAGACTAAAGGACCCCGGCTCTCTTAGCATGTCCTCACAGGGGAGGTGCTCCATGGCCTTCCTCTGCACCTACTCCAACAGCTTAATGTCCTTCTTGTGTTGGGGTCTCCAGAACTGGGAACAATACTCCAGGTGGGGTCTTGTGAGAGGGGGTAGAAGGGCAGAATCACCTCCCTTGACCTGCTGGTCACGCTTCTCTGGATGCAACCCAGAATATGGTTGGCCTTTGGGCCTGCAAGTGCACAGTGCTGGCTCATGTTGAACTTTTCATCAACCAGTGCTCCCAATCCTTCTCTTCTGGGCTGCTCTTAAGCCATTTTCCACCCAGCCTGTGTCTGTCTTGGGATTGCCCCAACTCAAGTGCAGAACTTTGCACTTGAACTTGTTGAATTTGATGAGATTGCACGGGCCCACCTCTCAAGTCTGTCCAGGTCTCTCTGGATAGCATCCCTTCCCTCTAGCATGTCAACTGTGCCACTCAGCTTTGTGTTATCTGCACAGTTGCTGACGGTGTACTCAATCCCACTGTCCGTGTAGCATATGAAGATGTTAAATAAAACCAGTCCCAATGCTGATCCCTGAGGAATACCACTTATCATCAATCTTCCCTTGGACATTAAGCAGTTGGCCACAACTTTCTGAGTGCAGCCAGAAAGTCAATTCCTTATCCAGCAAGTGGTTCATCATCATTTCCCTTTTTCTCCAATTTGGTGACCAGGATATCATATATATGTTTATACTGTAGTCATGTAGAAAGCAGTTAAACCAAGATGATTAGTTGTCACAATGGTTTGTCCACTTTTAATTCCTATTTCTTTTTAGAGATTTTTTCTTTTTTGCCGCTGACAGTTTGACTTACTCTGCACTGGTTCCAGCTGAAGTTTTTAACAGAATCACAGTTTAAGTGGAGAAGTGTATCTCAGTTTTGGTTAACTTTTCCATTTTTGCTTTTATATTAAATACATTGACTGAACAGATCATCCAGGAAATAGAACCTAGCTCTTAATTGGTACTTAGAAATTGTAATTAAGTATTCTTTCAGTTCATCTCATTTGAAATGGTAAGAAAAGGAGAGAAATAGATCATTTTTTTAGTATGTGCATATATATAAGCTATTTTAGTGTTGCCTTTGCACAGTGGATTTCTGATCTCAGCTTTTGGACAGAAAGTCCCAGAGGAATTCACATCCTCTAGTGTGAAAGGGTATTCAAGGTGAATAGGTGGTACTTTTTACTGTGGAGCCAGTTTCCTGCATACCTTTTAAATAAAGGCAGTGCCCTTTTCCCCCTGCAAGGCATGCAGAACATTTGTCATTAACTCAGATATAGAAGTATAACTCCTGTTCATTTTGCTAAGAACCACTTAAATGATTAATAGGTCTTCCTTTTATTCATCCAGACAATTAAAATTTTCATTAGCTCTGTAATGCATTCCAAACTCTTTTAGGATGTTTAAAAAGAATGTATATCTAGAAAAAAGTCTACAATATCAAATAATTATCAAGTTACAGAAACAATGTTTCCTCAATACTATTAATTTTTATAGCATTTTTCACTCACATTACTAACAAGCTACTGAGTGTTAGACTTGAAAATTTGGTCTAATCATGGTCATTAAATCTGGCTCACTCAGAGCAGCCTTTGCTATGCTTTCTTTCGTTTGTATAGTAAAGACACTAAGCTAGGTTTTTGGAGTCCAAACACCTATTCCTGGTTCTGCCATTGATCTGGAACACCCCTTCCCTTTTCTGTCTGCTTGTTACCCAGCTTATCCAACCAGATACAAAGTTGTTTCAATTTAGTACACTGAGAGGTAGCACGTTAAGTACAGAAAATCTCTTATTTTTCATCCTCAGAGGCTTACCATAATGTGCATATTGAAAATGTGGGGAAGTCATTATCTTGATAAGAGGTACCAACAGCAAGGATCCTGTTCTTATATTTGCAAGTAAATTAGTGTCTTGGGATTTAATGGGGAATCTCAGACCTACATCAGTATGCAGCTTGTGTTGCATCATATTTCTCTTTAAATTCTACCAAGCATTTCACTTTTTAATATTGACACAACTCTTTCCTTTAGAAGGCAAGTTACAAATATTATACTTAAGTAATTAGGTAGTTAGAATCAGCAGAGGGTGAAATACTTTCTATTGAAGAGTGCCATAAATTGACAATTTTTATGTAACAAGTATTTAATATGCTTTTTTTTTTATTAGTTTGTTTTTTCCATTTACTGACCCATTTCGCACTGGTGTAATGTCACCAACTTTCTGCTGGGCTCCATGTTAAAAGGCAGCACGGTTTTAGCAAGGATCCCTTTGAGTTCCTCTCCCTGATACTTTTGGCACAGTGCTTTTACCTACAGAAACTTAAGGTATTAAGTTGGGCAAATTAAATACAGAAATTCAGTAATATCTGATTTTAGCAAATGTTGACGTGTTCTTCTATATATTTTTTGTCAGCCCTTTTACATTAAGAAAGCAAACTGCTAATAATGTGATCTTACGTGAAGTCATTCTAAACTATTTTCTCTTTGATTTCTTTTCTTACGTGTTTTAGGGCAGTTGTCCATATCCAAGTAAAGGATGTTAATGAGTTTTCACCAGCTTTCAAGGAGAGTATGTATAAGGCCACCGTGACAGAGGGAAAGATCTATGACAGCATACTGCAGGTAGAAGCCATAGATGAGGACTGTTCCCCACAGTATAGCCAGATCTGCAATTATGAAATTGTCACAACAGATGTTCCTTTTGCTATCGATAGAAATGGTGAGTATGGAGAAGGATCTGACTGTAATTTCTGGGACAGATAGTGTTATTTTTTGCAGATAGTGTATAATTAATAATTGATACCAGTTGATAATCCAGCCCTTTGAGTTTTAACTCAGGAAACTAATACAGTTCTCATCTCTGAGAATGAAGAAACTGTAACATTGGAAAATTACATCTTTTTTATGTTTGATGTGGTCAGAAAGTGCCACAATAATATGCGTCATGGAAATGAAAAAATGGTTTTATAGATGTGCAGTACCTTTCTCTGACAGTCAGTCTGTTCTCTTAGTTGTCTAAAATCTAGTTTCCTGTGCAGCAGTAATGCAGCATGTAGCCCTACTTAATTTATTTGCAGGTTTGTAGCTAGTCCCAGTCTTCTGAACTCTTTGGATGCAGAATGGACACTGTATTGACTGTGTTTAGTAGTTCACAGTTCTAATCATTTGTGGCCCTTCCTGAAGTTGGTCTCCTATTCTGCAGTATAGAATAAAATATGCTTTGGGAAAGCAGTAACATTTTTCAATGGTTCATATTTTACTTGGTTTTCTAATATAATACTAAATGGACATCTCAAAAAATAATGAATCATAGTAAGTTTTCCATATGGTGCACTTTCTGACACTGGCTTCTCTACCTGTCAGCTTCTTGCTTCTCCTAGTCAAGTTCTTACCGGGGAAAAGCACAGACTTTGTCACTGAGTTTGGGAGAAGTGGCTGGGCTGCATTTAAAATGAGCTAAGGATTCTCCCTTCCCGTTCTCTGCTTGCTTTAGACAATACAGAATAGTGATTCTGTATTTCACCTGCTTCAGCAGTGCCATATTGGCATCGTTTTGTAAATAGGAGTGCTGTTTTCTCTGTACCTGGGGCAGAGGCCTGTGATGGACCCATGGGAAGTTCTTCTACATGTGCACCACGCTATGGTACTGAAGGAAATACCCTTCATGTTACTGGTTTTAGTTATCAGTATTTGCACATGCACCCTTGTGAAAAAATAGAAAATATAAATTCCTGTGCTTACAGAACATGTTTCCCCAACCAAACACCCTGTTTGTATACCCAGCAGTGTTCTGATTTATGTGATTTTTTGCCGGTTTGGAGATTGAAAGCATGCATGGAGCTACATTTTCTCTAAGCTGTTGTTTTCATATTGGGATGTTTTATTAGAGAAAGAGAAAAAAAAAACACCTTTCTCTAGTTCAAAAATGATCCATCTTTATTTGCACAGCTCTTGCATGATGTACAGCTGAGCTTCAAAAGGTAATAATCTGTTAGCACATCAGTGCAGTGTAAATGTCGTTGGTGGAAAAAGACCACTTGTAATACCATCATTTGGAGGCAAGCATTCTATATACTATATAAAAGATGTAGTCACGAGTATGTCTGTGTTTAGGTAAATGCTGAGCTGTTTAGGTGGCTTCATGAATAGGCTTGTGACTTTTAATGGCTAAATAACAGACAAAAATGAGCGTTGTATGGAGCAGGCATTCCAATTGCTTATGCCTTTTCAGGTGTTATCTCACAGTGCAGCTGGCTCTTGAGCGATCACGGCTTCTTTTATGTCAGAGGCATGATCAAAAGCACATTAAATGTCAAGTGTCTTTGGTTACGTATTTGTCCCCATGTGCTTGTGACCTGCTTTCCAGCAAAGACAACCAGAAATTGACTTAAAAATCACTTTAAAGGCCAAGATTAATTGGTGTTAGCTTATAATATGTGTAGTTTCTTGGTCATGAATTCAGTTAATAACTCTTTGATCTATTTGTTCACTAAAAGAACACTGCTGCCACAGTCAACAGTAATTGCAGTCTAATTTGCAATTTTTTAAAATAATGGTGATTGCTTAAGCTCACTGGGATTAGAGACAGAGAATAGATGGCTGCACTTTTATTTTGTGACAGAAATATGTTGCTTAGTTCCAACACATTTCACTGCTCAGAATGTGCCTCTTTGCCAGCAGATATAAGCTTTCTCTGATGCAAATTCTTTGGCATTGTTCCCATTTTTGTTACCTGTGGGATATATTAAAATAGATGTATGAGATGCTTGGGACTGTCTGTTAATGCTGTGCTAATTAGGATTTTGTTTATAGTTTTTTTGCCCATTGTGAAAAACCAATCTAGGGTCTCCATTCTAGTGAAAGTCATGTCATTGTGTCTTGTGGAAGTGATCTTTTTTTTTTTTTTTCCACTGTTCAGAAATACAGCTGTGGTATTTCAATTCCCAGAAATTCTCCAAAAGTAAAGGGTTTGTAATTAAAAAAAAAAAACAAAAACCGCAACTATTGGTTCATATGTTGAGATGTTTCTTTTGACCACAAACCTGTGCGAATAGCCATTAACAGACTTCGAGATAGATGAACATGCTTTGTCATCAGCTTTTACCTTTTGGTAGATCATTTCCTTTTTAGGCAAAATTTATTTTTTATATCTGTATCAGTCCAGGGAACGTTTTGTTGTGTTGAAAAATTATATTGCACATTGCAAAACATTTACAGAAAGGAAGAGAAAACCCTCCAGACTGCAGCTATGCACAGTGTACTTCACATCACCAAATTGTGTGAGGTACAAACTGATAAACATTGGCACAGGAAGCAGCATTCAGTATAGACCTTAGTAGGTCATGCATCTAAAGAAAAGTAAAATAAAGCTTCCTAATTTACGTTTGGCAACTTTGACTCAGTGCTTTTAATTTCTTTCTGATCTAAATTATTTCACGTGAAGAAAGTCTGGTATTCCTAAGAATTCACATTTAGACACTAATTCTGTTATGACTCTGAACTGCACTCTGACTTTGGAGAAGACGTTTGGTAACTATTACTTATCATTATGCCCATTTTACAGAGGAAGAAGCTGCTTGCCCAATCCCTGGGAAGTGCTTAGAAATAAATGTTCAGATAGCTCAGTGTGAAGATGAAATCAGTACAAGTTTTGTCAGGTCACTTATCTTAGAAAACAGACCTGAGCAGAACCTTGCAAGGTCAACTTTACAGCACTGAGATCTGTATTAGGACCTCTAAAATCCTGATATTGTCAGAAAAGTGAAACTTTTTAGTTAACTATTTGCATGTAGTTTTTATTTGTGTGTATTTGTTTATTTATCAAATCATGCTTTCTTTACATTGGCTTAGAAAAGTGCATGTTCTGAAAAGAAGTCATACTAGTCCTCCTATTGGCATACTGTCAAATACAGCGTCTGCTGGCTCTTTGCTGCTGGAGATCTTGTGATGTTGAAGATGTTTGCAGCATTGCTAGCTCTGGTGTCATGCAAGGGTTTGGAGATTAAAGTTCATACTCCCTGTACATACAGGAAGTAAGCATGAAATTCAAATGGGAATTGCAGTAGTAGAGTAGTTGAGTCTGTCTCCTGTTCTTGTGAATAAGATCTTTAGAATAGGATGAAAGATACCCATAAAACGGGGAAGTCTGTATCAAGCTATTCCCAAAACTGATCCTGAAGAAACAGCACTGCAAATGTGTAAGTCCTCACACAAGAGTATTCATATTTCTGTTGTTCACTTAATCAGCTTTCTGTTTTGTTTTTAAATCTGTTATAGCTCTTGGTATTTCCAGGAAAAAAGGCCAACGTTAAGAAAGCTTGAAGAAAATTAATTGTGTATTGTGTAGAGAAGTACTTACTTTTCCCATTGAAATTTCCTTTTTCATTGATTACCTTTCTGTTCATGGATGAGATGCAAATAGAAATTCTCAGTCTATTGGTAAAACATTAGTCTTTGTTTACAGTGTTATAGTGCTTGGTGTTTATAGTGTTTACCATCTGTGTCTACTTTTAATCATAAATTGTAAAATAACTTAGTATAAAGCATCAGAGATAACAGAAAAATTGCATATTTAGGGTATCAATGAATTGCAGTAATATCTGCAGGGCATCCAAATGACCTTCCATAACAGCTTGATCCAGAGTAAGCATTCTCATTCAAAGAGATGGTATAAAAACCAAGTGAAGACATGTCAAATACACTGTACAGTCTCAAATTTTGGTTTAAGCAGTCAGGGCATTTCAGTGGAAATGGGCAGAATTAAAATGCTAAACTCTTTAATTACATGTTCATACAGTTACATAGTAATCTCCTACTCTTGCAGGAAGTGCTCTGAGAAAGACATTTCTTTGTAAGTTATTTCTTTGATCCTGAAACAAGTGATTTGTCACCTTCGTATGTGTGTCAGGTTCAGCAGGTAATTTCTGGTATTGCTGAGTTTTATTTTCCATGTGGTAACTCAATTCTGTCATGTCAAATACTGCTGAGCTCTCTTACGTAGAAGGTGATTTTGCACCTTACATTTAAAATCCAGGGAAAGAGGTTAAATATCTCTCACTTAAAGGATAGTAACTTTAAGGGGAAAAAATACTTAGGCTGGACTTACATTCAGCATTAGATCTCAAGAGAGCAAGGTGCAGCTGCCACATTAAGGCAGTGTGTTCTGGGAAGATGTGGAAGATGAGCATCTGCTCTTACTTGGCATTTGAATGTTAATCTTTAAATAGTCTAGTCTTCAGAAAATATTGAGCAGGTGTTTGCTACAGACGTGCCCATATGTAGTAAAGACTAGTAAAGTTGTAAGTTGTCTAATAACTTCCCTTCATCCAGTGAAGAAATAAAGTCCTGCCCATCCCTGTGGATGTCCTGTGTGTTCCAAAGAGCTTATGATTTGATGAACTCTTACCTTGAATGTGATAATCCACATATGCCAAAATTCCTGAATGTTATCTTTTATTGAATCTGTAGGTAACATCAGAAACACTGAGAAGCTAAACTATGATAAACAGCATCAGTATGAGATAATGGTGACAGCTTTTGACTGTGGACAAAAACATGCGAAAGAAGATGTCTTAGTGAAAGTTAACGTCAAACCAGTGTGCAAACCAGGCTGGCAAGGTAAGGTTTAATAGCTTGTATATCCCAACCCCCCTTCTATCCCTGGGCAAGCAAGCAAATGCATACACAGTATTTTCTAAGTCTGTCTAAATATACTGAAAGATTAAAAAATTATTCTGGCTTGTCTTTCTCCTTGGAATCCGCTTTCATGTGTATGCACAAATGCATGAGTGAAGGCTTGTTCCATCTGCAATGGGTACAAAAGGCAAAGTTTATCTTGATTACTGTCATCATATTGAGAGAGTTCAGTAGGAATTTATTTTTGAAAAACAGTTCTAAGAAGTTGCAGTCTACCATCTAAAATGAGGAAAAACCCAGCTAGTGATGAAGTGGGAAGATGCAGTGTAGAAGGAATTAAGATGAACAGGAAGGCTGAATTAAGGAAAAATCATACAATTCATGCAACCATATTATGGAGATTTCACTCAGGACTAATCTGACCTTCAAAATTGTAATTTTTAAAGAGAATAATCCAGAAGGAAAGAATCATTTTCACTATTACACTTGCAGGTGAATATGTAGAACTGACGCTTAGGGAAAAAAGTGTTTAATTTGTAAATTGAGACCACCTCTTGTCTAGAAAGCTTCACAATGACGTACATCTGAAATGTCATAATTCCTTTTTCATAGTCTTCATTTAAAACAGAACCACATTTTATTTTTTCATGGATGCCTCCACTTCCATCAAATATTTAAAAAAGCATTTTTATAAAAATATAACACTACTAAGTATTTCCACATTTTATAAAACAAGCTCTTGATTTATACCATATTAATAATATGGTCTCTACACTTTGGAAATGTTTCAGTTTTGTGGAGTCATGTCTAGTGACTGGTACACATTTTCTCTTAGAATTCCTATTGGAAAGTTTCTGACTTTTCATTTGCCCAAGGGAATTTTAGTGACTGAATAATTTTTGCCAAGAGGTATCAGTAATGATATGTTTATATTGCCAACCATTGTCATAGCTATATAAGAGATCACGTATCAGATATACTTCAGGTGATCATTCGTGGTCATATCAAGTACATACACTTACAAACAACCTCAAATAAAGTTGGTTTTATTTTCATTTATGGATGCTTTGGTTTATCTTCAATTATGTGGGGTTTGTGATTCTAATGAAAATCTGGAATTAAACTTCTATTTTAGGCATACAACTTTTTTTTTTTTTTTTTTTTTTTCCTCCTAGAAGTAAGGCTGTATGTTAAACTAAACACTATGACAGGCTGCCAAGTTGTTAGCTGGAAGCAACCTCTTAAAAAACAACAACAAAAAAAAGCACGATGTGGTAGTTTAAAGCAGCTTGACTAAAGTATCTCTAGTAAGGAAGGATGTGTTTTTCTAGTATTCATTTTGCTTGAATTTGGACTTAGTAGTTCTGTAGTGAACTAGCACAAATGCACTCTGTCTTTATTCTGTCTGATAAAGTTTTATGATAGCTCTTTATTATAGGCAGGGCAAAAATATCAGATAGTTCAGATATTTTCTGCTTGAGCTTATTCCTTGACTGTGGAATTGTATCTTTCTGTCTGTCAGCAAGGTGACTACTTCATTTTGCTGGCAAGTCTCTGGGTTGATTGACACATGGTGCAAGAGGATGGTATTTGTCTTCGCAGGGTATAAGATACTAGAATAAATAATTGGGTGTGAGACATTGGTTCTTAACTATCAGGTCAGTAATTACTGTTTGAAAGAAAGATGCAGCATAATTCTTTCAGAAATTTCTTCATTTGTTTTATAGATACAGTTTTTAAAAACCTACTTATTTCTAAATGTGAAGATAGTCACATATTTGATGGTGTTTTTCATTATGAACCGATATCTGTAAAGACTAAGTGCTGATAGAAAGAAATCAACTAAGAAAAGCCTACTGATAGTATTTCCATCACTTAGAGAAGAAATCTGGAGGGAGACTAAGAATGGAAAATATTTAAGAGTGTTTTTACTTCCCTGATGCCCTATCCCAGGCACAGAATGTGGCACTTGCTCTTGTTAAACTTCGACCAGTTGCTGATTGCCCAGGTGAGCACTTACTACCCAAGTAACCGTGGAGACTGCTGTTGAGGAAAGGTTATGTGACAGTGATAGATAATTTCAGCTTCACATCTATGCGTTTGCAGGTTTTTTTAAGCAACAGATTTCTGTACTGTCATCTGCCCGTTCTAGGTGTTTCTAGCTGTTCCTCTTAGGCTCTACTTTTGTTTTCCCTGTTCTGTTGACACAGAGCAGACACCATATAGTTTTTGCTTCAGTGTGCATTTTTTGATTCACTTCCAGAACGATTGTTTTTGCTGCAGTACTTTTACTGTCATATTGATATTGACTGCTATAAAGCTATAGCTGTCTAAATCAGTTCAGGAGAAAGAAACATGTAGCAACACAGAAATAGATACATGTATAGCACTTTTATAAAAAGCATCAGGTCATAGGTGAAATAAGAATCATAAATTTGTAATTTAGATCATGTTCATTTAACCTGTTAATAATACCATAATAATTATCTTTCATTACTTGTAGGACCAGTTCCATGAAACTCAAGGAATCATTCTCCCACAGTTGGGTTAGCAGAAATAAATGAAATAAGACAGTGTGCTAAATAATGTACTAGAAAAGCATAGAAGAAGAGTTTAGCCACAATAAATAAATAAATAAATAAATAAATAAAGAGCAGAGTAATATAACAACCTAATCTATACTTTGAGATTTTTGAAGTTTAGCTCAATTACTGGAAGTCAAGCCAGAATTGAGGTCAGGTTGTTCCTAAAACTTACTGATTTCAGATGAAATGTAGTTATAATGGCATAAAATGCACAAACAAAGGAAGGCACAACAACAACAAAAAAACCTCCCCTAAAACAAACAACAGGGTGCCTCAAGAAAGTGTTGGAGGATTCTGGCTTTTACAAAACAGGCAGGGAAAGGTTGAGTAAGTGTCCTGGTTGTGGCAAGGATGGAGTCTCTGTAGCTGATACGGTGCTGTGCTTTGGATTTAGGATGAGAATAATGTTGATAGCACACCAGTGTTTCAGGTGTTGCTGAGTAGTAGTTGTGTTACATCAAGAACTTCCCAGTTTCCTGTGCTGTCTGCCAGAGAGGAGTTGGTGGTGTAGAAAATGTTGTGATGGGACACAGCCAGGACGGCTGTCCAAAGGTGGCCAAAGGGACATCCCAGATCACAGGAGTTGGCAGGAGGGGGTTGGAGGCTGCTCAGGATTCAGCTGGACAGTGATCAGCTAGTGGAGAGCAATTGCACTGCGTTATCACTAGTTTTGTGCATTCTTTTCACTTCTTCCGTTTGTTTTCCTGTAACAGCTGTCATAATCTGAACTCTCATGTTCTATTTTTTTTTTTCCCCAATTCTCTCTCCCATCCCTCTGGGGAGGGAGAGTGGGTGAATGGCTGCGTGGTGCTGAGCTGCCTGCCAGATGAAACCACGGCTGTCTTTTTTGTCACTCAGCATGGGGCCAACAAAGGGTGGAGATAACAGCAGATCTGACCAGAGCGTGTTAGCAAATTAGTTTGTAATTGATTATAAATATTATATGTTTAATTGCTGTTGATCACAATGTTGATTTATTTACTCTCAGAGTTTATTTGTTCACAATTCTGTTTTATGTAACTTATCTGTTGCTAATTATTACCACTGAATGATGGCTTTAGGTTGGTTTTTGGTTTTCTCAGTTTTTATTCCATCCATGAAATTTGTTACATTACACCAACCAGTGCCCAGCCCAGTCAGTCCCCAGTGGCTATCTTGGGGAGGTCAATATATAGCAAAGACAACAGAACAAAAGCTGTACCTAATTATCTGAGTTTTGTGCACAATATATTTTAGCAGAGTAACACGTTCCTTAAACATCCTCAATTTCACTTTGTTTTTGGTGTTTACTTAAAAGTACTTTGGAAGTAGAAACTTCCATTAAATTACCTAATAGATTGATACTTCTCTTGTCAGAAATTTTTATAAAGATATTGTGTGTTCCATTTGTAAGGCATGTGTGGTTTATTAAGGTGGTGAACTATGGCTTTTCTGCCACCAAAGGCACATTCCTATAATCTCTTTCAGGTGAGCTAGTCGTTCAGAGACCATATGAAGGTCACATCAGCTTGCTTCTCCTGCTGAAATATAATCTTTTGTTCAGAGAAGGGCAGGACCTTCTCTTTTAGTAGCAGAGGGATGTTAGAACATTTGTGAGTACACATACTTCACATACTATTTATAGTAGACTTTGCATGAAAGAGGCTGGTCAGGTACAGAAACCTCACAGAATAAAATCAGAAAACTTCCTAGTCCTGAGGAACAACTTTAAAAACTAAGATAAAAAAATACAACAAAAAAAGTCATCACAACTAAATGTTTTCTTCAGTAAATATAAATTGACTTCCAATCTCATTCCATGCATGCACCTGGCAGTTTAAAATGTAATGCTTGTGTCGTTTTAGCTGTAGATATTTGCCCATTTTTTTTGAAATGAAAGTTATTGCTTTATGACTTTATGCTACTCTAATCTTGGAGCTGCTGTGTATGTGTCATTAAACTAGGGTAATTATAATGAAATGCTCACATTGAGCTGTTAAATTGAATCACAGTCTTTAGTAGAATACCTAGTCTCATCTTTTTCAGACATTTGAAAATTAATTGAATTGCTGAGTAGCTCTAGTTGTGGGGCTCACAGGTTATGTGAGTTCATACTCATTTTCAGTACTTGTTCTGGCACGGTTCTGCTGTTTACCTACCAGACATACTTAGACAAAGCAGACAGATCTGTTTAAACCTCATTTTTAAGCTAGAACTGCACTTCCTCAGCTAATTCTGCTTATGTCTTATGGTTAAATACACGTGAATGTTCCAGGTAAGTGGTGTTTTTTTTTTTATGTCTTTTACTCTTTTTTTGCCTGGCCATATCAGACTGGTGGTTCACAGGTGTACTATTAACCTAAAGGAATTAGCTCTTTTTCCATGTTTCCTTCTTTTCGTACTTAAGCACAAGTTTACTGAAGAAGTTCCTGACCACGAACTGGTACTTTGTATCATAACCACAAAGCAACGTTTCTTTAACAGTTACCAAGGTCATCTTGTCCTGTGCTCAGTGTATTCTGTTCCCATATTGACTTTCAGTGTAGGATTACCTTCCAGTTTCTTCATCAGCAACAGTAATTAATACAGTTTTGCATCAAGATCAGGAGTAGAGAAGTCAAGTAATCCCAAGGTAGATTCATAAGGATCCTTGCTAGATGGATTCCCTGTGTTCCACAAGCTTTGCTTTTTCAGAGTAACCCATTTTTGCCTTCTCTTTAGAGAATTCTGTAAGGCCTGTTGAGTAAAAAAATCCAAGTGAAGACTGTCTTTTGCCAGGCTAAACAGGGCTGATTTTAATCAAGTTTTTCCCATTGGCTTTCCCTTTCCCCCACACTGGGGAGTCAGTGTTTACCTCCCTAAATTTGCACTGTAATGTGGTAATGCTGTACATTAGCTTGTGCCAAAGGAGAAACAATACTGTTTGAGTTTAGTAATCAAGCACAACCTGCTGTTTCAGATGGGGATACTTCTGCCTGTTTGAAAAGCATGGACATGAGTCACGTTTTAAGATCCAGTTCAAAATACCTGTTCTGAAATTCAGTCTTTGCAGACTTAGGTTACATAAGGTTCTTCCTCTGAATCAATTCTAGAAGAACTGAAAAATTGCCACAACATTCCTGAGGGGAAGGTGCTGGTCTTTTGAATGTATCCAATAGAGGATGCAGTTTTAGGAGAAAATAAAATGACCAACTTTGCCACATTCAATGTTAAATGCAAGATTTGGGTCTTTCTCACAAATCCTTTTTTCTCATTAAAAAAAAAAAAACACTGAACAACAAACCAAAGAAAAAAACCTCTTCACACTGCCAGTGGTTCTTTTTGCTAGTTCTGACTCTATGCCCTTTTCAACACTACTAACTTCACTAGTAGTCAGACACAGAAGACGCTGGCCTCAAGCTCAGTGCCTCTGGGACACTGAAATGCCATGGGGACAGTTACTATATAAATAAGACAGTTGCAAAGGTGTTACCAACTTTAAAGTATCCCAGGTATTGCCCCATGCCTGCCTGGTAAGGCTTTGTGTGTGGTTTGGGGTAGTCCTTGGCTGTCTTCGTAAATATACACTGAAGCCTCTTTCCATCAGTGAAAGACGTTCAAGTGAGACTTAGGATTTTGGATTGGTCTGTGATGCTGCAGGAGACCAAGTACAAAGACATCAGTTCAAGTGTAGTTGATGTTTTACAATTTAGAGCTGAGAAAAATGCAGGTAATTTAGAACATTCAGGGCTTACGATTCCTGGTCACAAGTCATCATTTTTAACACGTAGAAAGGTAATACTGGGAAATGAAACAACTCTTCCAATTCAAGGGACACCCATATAGCAGTAATAGAGCACCATTATTCTTCCATATGAGTTGAAGCGTTTTATTTATTGTATTTTATATAAAGCATTCTTCATGTATCTGCAGTTGCATGTGCATTTGCATGTAGATAAGTTACAGTGAGTAATTTAGTTACATTTCCCAATAATATTTTGCATGAGAGCCATTTAATTAATTATAATGGAGAAACAAGAAAGTGTCTGAAATCTGAAAGCTGCTGAGATACTGATTTGACTATTATTTTTCTTATTGGTGAGGAATATAATGCTTTCCTAGTGAATAAGAGATTAGAAAAAGCAATAATTCTTGTTAATGCTTACATTATTAGCGTATGCTCAAAACAAGCTGTTTTATTTTTACCTTAAGTATTTGCAATAATTTCCTGCTCTTATTTGATTGCAGAAATGTTAATTTCAACTTTCAAAAATGGATTAGAAAGATAAATCTGTTGTTGTAATGATATACGTTTTGATTCTTGAAATTCAGTGGGAACTGTCTACGTTGATAGTAAAGAGAAATGTATGCAACAGTGCAGATCAAATCTCACTTTATATGGAATATTACTACCTGTAAATTAGTACTACAATAGTAGCTCAGCTGGTATATGCACAGGCAATAAAGTAGTCATAGCTGTCTTTTAGTCAGGGATGTCCTAAAAATTCTAATAAAAATAGTGCTAATATCTACAGAATGTTCTTTGAAGTCTCAGCTTCCTCATAGAAGCAAAATGCTTTGTCATCACCATTTGTATTAAAAGTCACAAAGAAAATCTGAGAGTCCAAATGCAGATGCAGATTGTCAGCATATCATCTTTTTCGCCTGTACTCTGGGCTAGCAATTGCTCTGCATTTCAAAGTTTTTGCCTGAACTGCCAGATTTAGTTATGGCATTTATAGAGCACTCTTCTTCAAACTTTCTGAAAACTAAGTCTCTTGAAAAACACCAAACTTTTTCACTTACTGAATTCAAAGAGATTTATCTCTGTACATTTGCTTTAAGAGATTCAATTGACTGCCAGGACCTAGTTGTTTTGTGTGTTGTTTTTTTTTCCATTTATAGACTCCTCTTTTACCTAGGACTAAAAATAGAGGAACTTTAACTATGTATGCAAGAGTAATTCTGGTGGGAAATTTTACAGGTACACAGATGGTACACTCTGGTAGCAAAGATGAATAGTTTTGTGACTTCAAAATAATTAACTGTTTACATCTCTGTATTAGGGTGGCACTGTCATTTATGTTCTTTAGTAGGCTGGCTACAGTTGGCTGAAAAATATGAACAGGAAATAGCCAAAAATTCATGTTTTTAAGTAATGATGCTTGTTTAGGATTTCTCTGAAGCAAGTTGTAGTTAATTGGATTTCAAAAATTAAATGCTTCAGTTGAGAAACAGTGGTATGTATACCATGTCCAGGTGGCCTAAGGCAGGTGATTGTTCAACGTTTTATCGGCTGTGAAACATCTGCACAAGCAGAGCTTGGCCAGACCTAGCTGAATGCATGAGTAGTCTTTTGAGGTGCAACTTTCAGTCATGGATACTTAACAAAATTGAAAGACAACAGGTAGCACTATAGACATGTTATATTAGCTTTTGGACACAGTCCAGTAAGACTGATGCCTCTTGCAGGTCCTTGGAGATATTTCTTCTTATCTCGAACTATGAAATCTAACCAAATTCAGTGAAGCCAACAGCTTCATCTCAGTAAAGCTAGCTTGCAGGATGTCATATCGGCATGGACATTGGAGACCCAGACCGATTAGCACTTATGTCAGAATGTGTAACTTGTGTTTGTGTGATTTAGCAGTATTAATAGAGCCTGATGGTGAGGCAAAACCAAATTTATAGGATATTAATAAAAGAAATGATTTTTGTCTTAGCCAGGGGCATTTGATAGCAGTATGTCATCTAAAATTACATAATTCCTTTCCCATTTTTAATCTCTCTTGAATTTTTTGTTGTTGTATTTTTCCAGATTGGAACAAACGTATTGAATACAAGCCTGGTTCTGGCAGCATACCGTTGTTTCCCAGTGTTCATCTAGAAACGTGTGATGGCCCAGTTTCATCAATACATACAACAATCGAATTGCAGACCAACTATATTGGAAAGGGCTGTGATCGTGAAACCTACTCAGAAAAATCTCTGCAGAAACTATGTGGTATGAACATGGCTGTCAGTCAATATAACAATCTTTTTACAGAAAAAGTGCCAAATCCTTGTGACTTGTAAGCATGCAATATATGCATTTAGCTCAGCTGGTTCATCTTTGATTGTAGCAACAAAAATCAAGGAACTGATGATTAACTAGCGCCCTATTCACTTCCATTTATTTCACTTTCTTTTTATGCCTTTTTCCTGCTTTACTACTACTTTTTTTATTCAACTCCTGCTCTTCCTTTCTTTATTTTTTCCTATTTTCTTATCCTACATCTTTCACTTTTTTCCTTTGGTACTAATTCTGTTTTTGTGACAGTATATTGAGATTTCACATATAAACTGACCATCAAAAGAAGACCATAGGATATCATAATTGAATCTATCCTGTGTTTTAAGTCTTCCTCAATCAGCTTTCTGCTCTGCTGCTAAGTACTGTGCCAGAGCAAAAGCAAACAAAAATAAAGGAAATTATGGGCAATCATTTGAGGGAAAGTATTTAAGAAACACTTGTGGAGACTGAGAAAAGAGGTAAACATGAATAACAGAATTCACATAATGTCAAAATATTTTCAATCTGAAAATTGCTTAGTTTAATCCTGTATCTCTGTCCAACCAAGGTCCTAAGAAAAAAAAAAGAGGGAAAGCCCATTACCGTTTGTATGCATCATCACATTCATGATGTTAAAATTGAGAGGTTGAACAAAGCTATGAGATCAGACCCTGAACTGGATTTCATAAAATGTTAGTGTTCTAAATAAAAATAAACACATTATAGCTTAAGTCAAGTGCTTTCGCTGACTTTATGAACTTAATGTTGGTAGCAAAAAGAACATTGCTTTATGCCTGTTACAGACCTGTACTGCAAATGGCACGAACACTCTGAGCAGCTCCTTATTAACATTACTTTACCTGCTAACACTTAAGGACCAGCACATTGAATTTCAAGTTTTTCTATTTTTCTACTGAATAAACTGGATTTTTCCCCAATGTCAAACTTTAATTCAGTAGCTGGTTGTACCGTGTATAGGCCCTAAATAGGTTAAAAACAGAATGGTCAGTACATTTCCACAGGTTTGACAATGGCATTGTAGTAGCTGCAGGCAGTGTATGAGCTAGTGGACAGAATCTAACTATACTGTTGAACTTCCAGTTTTAGCTTAGCATATCTGTGAAGGAATGGGATGTAAAGCAGTTGAAAAAATAGAATGTAAAAAGTATATGTAAAGGAAGTGGGGAAAGTCTTACTGATGAAAGAGCATTTTTTTTGTCCAAGGTTTCCATTTCTTCATAGAGAAGTATAGGCAAGGTAGAAATTGATAATAGGACTTTGATAAAAAGGTTAAAATGAAAGTGGACTTTACACCAGAATTGCATTTGGAAATATTTACATTTTGATGCTTGGCTTTTGTTGCCATCCTTACTGTAGAGATAACAGGTAATCTTATGGAAGCAAGTTAAATAAATTATTTATGGAAAACAGCTTTCTTCTAGAAATGATCTTATTTTATCTTATGGTTGAATAAATAAATTCTTAGTGAAGGAAGAAAACCCTGCATTTTTTTCATCAGTGAAGTATTGTGTGATTGCAGAGAGTGCAGAATTGAATGATCAGAGACAAGTATTTGTTTGTGCCATGTAAAAAGCAAGATTGTCTCTCTGTAACTGAGGATCCACTTTATAAATCCTGTGCTCAGTTCTTAATTAGTCAGTTAGAAATGCAGAGGATTCAGGTGCTGAGGACCATGCATTAAAATTCACTTATTTTTATGTGACTGATCGTTCATCTCTGCCTTTCAGTAATTCAGTAATGCGTACTTACTTTTGACAGTAAAGGGTGGACAGTTTTACTGATTAAATTGCAACCAAATCATTTAAAGTCAAGGACCTATTAGTACTGTGCCTCAAAGCATTTTAGGAAGTGGTTTTTTTTACCTTGTCATCTAACAATAATAAATAACAATGTGTGACAGACTCGAGGGCTCCAACCCCCCCCAGTTAATTCTAACAAATAAATGCATTTAACTAGGGACCACTTACTAATGATTTACATTCTGGAGAGGGGCTAATCTGAGTTCTGAGTACCACTGAAGTCCTGTATTTATCATTAGGCAAGAATACATGGAGCTACTGCACCCTGACACAATCCAGCATTAAAGTGATACTAATTATACAGTGAATATTCTGTATGCAATGATATTCATACCAACAATACGAGAATCCATTTCTGTCTGTTGGACATCAGGGCACTTGTTCTACATTCATATCCACTGTACTGAATTTGGCAATACATCACCCCCATGTACTACATATCTCTGTGCAGACAGCAAAGAGGATGTGAAGCCTTCCTGTTGGAAGTATAGAACTTTGTTTTAGTCTTAGCGCTTCTTGAAATAACTGAAGAAATGTCACTAATGAATTTTAGAAAATAATGAGAAACTTCTAAGAGAAGTAACGTAATGTTTTCTGTAGTCACTGTGCAGTATGTTTCATCTACTTTTACTGGTTTTACTGCTTTTACTGGTTTAGCATGCTTGCTACTAAATAATGTGCATGTAATTTGACAGTGAAGCTTACAGGACCATTTGGGATGTGAAGATAGTATAAACATGTGAATCAGGCCCCACGCCCATGGTAAATTCATCTGTACAGCCTTTTCATTAGTCTCTCATTGTGCTATTAATTACATACCGTTTGCAGGAGCATCCTCAGGTGCCATTGATCTCTTACCATCTCCCAGTGCAACAACTAACTGGACAGCTGGGCTTCTCATGGATAATAATGACATGATTTTTAAATTTGATGGAAAACAAGGAGCCAAAATCCCAGATGGAATAGTCCCAAAGAATTTAACTGATCAATTCACCATCTCTTTGTGGATGAAACATGGACCTAGCCCAGGACTAAGAGCTGAGAAGGAGACTATTCTCTGCAACTCTGACAAGACAGGTGAGTCTTTCTGTTGAGGAGAAAGGCATAAAATATTTGGTGAAGCTCTATAAGTAGTTAAGTTGAATATTGATTTGGGTCTTGTTTATTAACTTGGACATAATGCTTCCATAAAATGAATATGGCATAGTTCTGGGAGATATTAGATAGCTTTCGCTAGAACCATAATGATGCACAATATTGGAAAAAACACAATTTTGATTTGTTGGGTTTTTTATCTTTTAGCTGTGTATTGCTTTGGAACACTTTAACCTAAACAAAAATGTTGACGAAGTTTAGCTCACTAATCTTCCCGCACCTCTTTCAGAGATGAACCGACATCACTATGCCTTGTACGTGCACAACTGCCGATTAGTGTTTCTGCTGCGTAAAGACTTTGATCAGGCTGACACCTTCCGCCCTGCAGAGTTCCACTGGAAACTGGATCAGGTACTTGTGGCTTTTTTCTTATCTGTAACCCACCCATATATCCATCTGCTTTAGAATCGTAGAGAACAACTCAAATACTGATGCAATTGTTTGGGGAAATCAGAAGACTTCTTCGGTTACGTTTGAAATTCCAACTGTTGTGAGACTTTACTGGGCTCCACAGAGGAAGTTAAATTAGTTAGCTTGGCTGAATCATTCATTTCAATAAGTTCTTTAGTGGAGTCATATTAAACACTAAGTAGAGGTTTATATCCATTGTTAGTGGAGAATCTTAGAGTCCTGACATTACATGTAGTTCCATAGAAGTTTTCCACTTATCATTTAAAAAAAAAAAAAACAATCTGCTGTATCAGCATAATGGAAGTGATAGAAGTCTTTTTCACTACAGAGTATGCTGACATGTGGGAAGCAGTTTTTAATGTTTTTAAGTCTAATGTGTGGATTTTCACTTTCATCTGCTATGCTGTAATTTCTCATTTTTATGAACAGTATATTGTAAGGAAATTATTATTAAAGAGATAAGAGTTGTCTTTGAGATATTTATCAATTTTAAACAAGATAAGAATTATTTGAATAAAAGAAGACACATCTCATTAAGTTGGTATTTTACGTAAGCAAGCTTATTCATGTATTTTGGCCCACACTGTATCAAAGATGTAGATATAGGAGTGGTAGCTTTGCTAATTTACCTTAAGAATGCCTATTAAAAGTCCATTTTTGTCTTGATTATCAGAAGAATGTGGTGATAAACCATGGGATGATCATAGTACTTGCTTTTCATATCCATTAACCAGTTTGGAAACAGTTTCTGCTGTATGTGATATGAAATCTTGGTGCCTAGAAAGGGATACATTTGAACTATATCATACTTAAGACTAACAGTCTCAAGTAACCAGTGTCAGCTCAGAAGATACTGTTCTGAGTGCTAAGATGAATTTCAAATGGCTTTATAGTAAAGATCTAAAATCATCAATGGTACTATAAAGTTTATGTAAAATGTGAGATCGACTTCAAAAGTAATGCTTCCTGTTCGATGATGTTGGTCCATGATGTCAGCGGCAGATGTTGACAGCATGGCAGTACTTTCCCAACAGTATTCCGTTGCATTTTGCTGCCATGTGACAGATGGCAGCAGAGAGGCAGTCTGACAAAGTGGTGTCTGACATGGGAAGTGTTTATGAAGCAAAGGGTGACAATGAATTTCTGCATGCTGAAAAAATTGCACCTATTGGCATATATCAATGCTTGCTGAAGGTTTATGGAGACTAAACAGTGGATGTGAGCAGTGGTAAGAGCAATGTGAAAGTCAGACTACAGCCATGCAGGCTTGTTTATCACTGCTGAAAATGCATAGCTAATGGTTCTGGCTCTGTTGAAGAAAAGTGTTTTGTAGCTGAGAATTTTCTCTATCAAATAGTGTTATTGTGCTTTTTGTTGTAGTTTTCATGGAGATAAATAGGAGGCATTACTTTTGGAATGACTGTGTTTGGACTTGGAAAGCTGAATGCAGTCAGTTTCTCTGCTGTATCTTTAGAATGGGAGAGTAACTGTGTCCACTCAGTAAAAGAAGTTTATGTGTAACTCTTGTAACTTACCCATGATGAAGTATTGGAAAATGGACTGTCAAGAAGAATTTTCCATTTTCAGGGGATGTATCTGATCATGTGAAAGAACTTTTTCATCTAATGTTACCATCTGCAGTTACTTCATTCGCACTTTAGTTTCTCCATATCATTTCCAGAGTTGGTTTGTTGTTTTTTAAAAAAAGATATAAATCAGAAAGTACTGAAATGCTAGTATCTTTCTGATTCTATTTTTCCTTCTTATATCACAAAATAGACAGTATATCCTGAACTACTTGAGGTGGAAGTATACCATGCTTTAAGTGTGGCATTTTATAAATAATTGATTCTTTCAGTAGGGAATTTTTTGAGAGTAACTTTTTCATGAGCCTATTCATGAAACATTCTCTTATGTGAACTCCAAAGTACAAATAAAATTGAACTACAATATACATTCTAACCAAGCTGTCATATGCGTTTGTGTGTCAGTAAGATAAAGCTCATGTTTTGGCAATTAATTGCATCTCTAATATGATCTGACTTCCTAATAAGTGGAAAAGATTCTCATAGGGCACGACCAAAGCTGCTATAGTACAACTCATAGCAGTCTCTTCCTGTTTTTTTTCCATTTCTTGCAAATGCCCCATGATTTCAATAGCATGGTTTCTGCAGGGGAGTAGCTGTGTACCCACATGATGCTCTGCAATGTCAGCCATCTCCCAGGTCCAACCAGAAAAAGACACTTAAGTACATTTGTTGATGGCATAAACAAGAGATGTATAAGCCCTCTTTGGTTCCTGTGGTTTTATTTGGTATTTTAGAAATTTAGAAAGCAAGATAAAAAAAGTCAGTGATGTTCTTTAAACCTTCTGGATTACACTCCCTTCTACAGGACTAAGTGCTAAATCTGTGAAGGAAAAGCTTGATCTGTCTGAATGCAGGACTCGAGAATGTGCTAAGTTTGAGGTCAACACTAAACTGCATGAGCTGTTGAGTCCTTGCAGAAAGACCTTGACAAATGTGGGCAATCACCAGCTCACCAGCGACATGAAGTTGAACAAGTGCAAGTGCCAAATTGGCACCTGGGATGGGACAGCTCAGAATATATGTACAGACTGGGGGACAAGAGGCAGGAGAGCAGCCCAACATAAGGGAATCTAGGTGTTCTGCTTGACAGCAAGTTGAATCTGAGCCAGCAGAGAACGGGATGGAGCTGTGTCAGGTGGGGGTTAGGGAAAGGTTCTTCTCCAGAGGGTGGTGGGCATGGCCCTGAGCTGCCGGAGAGTTTGGATACCACTCTCAGACATAGGGTTCGGGTTTGGGTGGTCCTGTGCAGAGCCAGCAGTTGGCCCTGATGATCATTGTGGGTCCCTTCTAACTGAGGATGCTTTGTAATTCTGTGTTTCATTATCAAGTTGATTATTGTGTGTGATTAGCCTTACACTGGAAATAGAGTAGCATTGATGTTACTGACGAGCTATACATACTCTTCATTTTTATTCTTTAATGTTTACGAATATCTAAAGGGAGGTGGGAGGCAGATGGATGAGACCAGGCTCTTTTGAGTAGTGTGTAGTAATAGGACAAGGAGCAGTGGCCTAAAACTTGAACATGGGAAGTGACAAACATGCATAAGAACTCCTTTACAGTAAGGGCGATGGGGCACTGGAACAGGTCGCCCAGAGCAGTTGTGGCATCACCTTCTGTGGAGATATTCAAGAGCCATTTGGACAGCATTCCAATAAAATCTCCTTGATCTCAAAAGGGAAAGAAGTAAAGGCTAGATTTTCAAAAGTAAATTAACTGCTCTTGTTGGTTTTTTGTTTGTTTGTTTTTAAGAAAAGAATGGGAATTAGGCTGTAGCTAACTGTTGGATGTTTTCTCACAGTCTGCAATGCACTGATATGCAGTGCTACAGATCAGGTTGCATACATAACTGTGGAAGGCAGCTCAATGGTTGGTACAAAGCACAGCTAGAGCAGAGGAAAATGTGGCAGCATACTTCATTGCTGAGTTCACTTTATGATGGCAACACAATTCATGGCTTGTTTTTCTGAGAGGAATCTTGTGACCTTGGAATAGGGTGAAGCATAAACCAGTGAAATCATTTATCATTGTTACAGCAGAGTAGTAAAATTTATTATACCAGCTGCTTTGGGCTTTACCTAGCCCACAAAACTACTCATTCTTTCCTGGCACTGGCCAGGAATGTGACTTTATTACCATTCCAGATTTAATTCTTCAGATCACATCTCTGTGATGTGGAAGAGTGGCACAAACCTAAGTTGCAGTCTCTGTTCTTGGCCAAATACAAGAGGTTGTGTCCCATTTTATATACCTACACATGAGCAGTGCCTCTGAAGCTCTGAGATGCAATGCAGCCATAACTGTAATGCACAGCAAGTGTCTGAATCTTCCACATAGCTGTGGTGACCAAGGTAGTTCTGGAGAATTTATTTTCAGTGTGACTTTAAAGGTTTCCAGCCCTAATTGCTATGCTAAAGCAGATGGATTTCAGTGAGGAAATTTCTTGCTTATTGTACAGAGTGTGCATAGGCCTGTGTATGTGTCCCTTTACTATTAAGCTGTTAAGAAAGTATTAATAACAGCTAACAGACTTTGAACTGAAAGTGCCTTTGTTTTAAGAAATAGGAGGAAAGGTGGAGTGGAAGAAACTGATTCCCCTTTCCTCCCCCCAATTTCTCATACTTAATTATTTGACTCCATTCATGGCATAGTACCTATTACAAGAGGCTTTGTCAACAAAGTCAGTAAAAGGCACCTAAACCAGTATCTAATTTTCTCAAGCGAGTAGGAATAGGTGTGCTAAAAGTGGACAATTTAGGTAGCCAAATATAAATTTGGGCCATCAAAGAATAACACACGAAATATACTTTGCTGATTTTTTTTAATCTTCTTCAAGTCTGTGGTGATTGATCTTTAGGGTTCTTTATGTACTCATTCTTTCCTGGCACTCATCTTACGGACAGATGACAGGTTTTCAGAAAATGGCTGTGTTGCACAGCCTCCTCAGGCACGCTGGAGATAACCTCATGTGGTATGGTTCTGGTTCAGCTCTGAGCTTTCTGATCTCCTCAGCCTTACAGCAGGCTAGGAAAAATGGGGAGTTGGTGCGATTCTTAACTCACGCCCTTGATCGTGTTTCCTTTCAGCCACTAGTGCTGTGTCTAGCTTTTGTCAATTTCCTTGATGCGTGCATACCAGAATTGCAAAAGAGATCAACGTGTAATGAGATTCAGCATTTCAGAAATTGAGCACTGTTGAAGTTAGTGGGAGAATGATTTTAACACTGGCAGAATTTCTCCTGAGAGATACAAAAACCAAGCAAACGGAAGATCAGGTCGTCTCAATTCTTTTCCTATCGATGCAAAAATATTCCTGAGCTCTGCTAACAACTCTATTGAGAAGGTTTGAATG